TCACCCCCCCCCCCCTCAATTCACTTCACTCTTGTCATATGTATTCTTTTCTTATAGGGAAGACTATAAAATGCAATCTGAAAAAAATCTCAGTTACTGAAGAATTGCCTGAGATAGTAATGAGATGGAAGCTGTGCAAAAAATTTCAGTAAGCAGGTCCCACTTTTCACTAACGTTTATGAAGTTAACTCGGAAATTTTAAATACACCTTCTTCTTAATGATACCTATTAGCTTATTAGCTTCACTAAAATGAGTGGAGTTATCATAGGAGTCCCTTCTCCCTGCATGTGCTCTCTTTCCTTTCCTTGCATCTACTAGCTGCTTTACTGCAGGACAGGTACATAACAATCATTAAAATAGCATTTTTTTACAACGGATTGTGTGACTCAGTTACAATTTGAAAGCATCTTTTCATCCTAACTTACTTTTCCTACTTAACCCAAATTTCTATGGGGCCCTTCATCCTTTGAATCTCAGAAGCTCAAGACACCAGTGGCTGTTCCTAATGAATCCACAAGCATAAAGAAATTAAGTTCAGCATTTTCCTCCAATGCCCAAAGATGTTTGCTGGTTTTGTAAAATTTGTATTTAACCCGCTCCCACCAATACAACATGTTGCATTATTTGCTTGCAGCAAAAGCAAATTCATACGTTTTGCCCTTTTGAGCAGAGTAGAGTGAAATTTGTAGCAGTTTTTAATTTTCTTAGAGTTTTGTTCTGTAACTTCAGATCTCCCAACAGTTCTGCTTCCTATATGCCTGCTCTAAAGAGTACCATGTTTTGCCTGGGAGGCAGTATTTTTAAACCAAAATAACATCACAGAAATAGCCATTTTCTGTGGTGCTCTACGATGAACTAATTTAGAAAACAGGATAGCTGTGATGAGCTTTTGGTAGCCCACATAAGAGCTGGAGTCTCCTGTGGGCAGATGTCTTTGTGCCCAAAGAGGCAATAATACTGTAGCCCAGCCAGAAGTGTATACTGTGACCACATCGTCTCCTGCTAGAACCAGCTGCAGTCTCCTAGCCAGCCAAAAGGCCTTAGGCACATATATTGCTATGGGAGCATAGCATCAATAAGGGATTCAGATGCTTTCTTAAGAAGTTCCCCTGCATTGTCCACTGTACTTGCATATATGGAAACAAAACCATCTGCACTACCACTGGAAAAAAAAAAAAAAAAAAGGAAAAAAAACCCCACACCCCACACAACAAGCTTTCTTCTCTGAACCACCATAACATCTATCTCTCTGATTCCTGATTCCTTAATCATTAGATGGTATAGTCAAAAACTCCCAGTGGGTTAACGTTAATGGAGATTGCCAGAGAGATGTAATACATAGATGCAAGTCAAAGCATGCAAACTCATGCGCTGGTATCACAATAGCTTTTGTAACAGCTACATGAAGATTTTAAGCTGGATGCACTACCTCTTCTCTATGAGGCAGAAAAGTTTTCTTAACAGACTTGTGCCCAATGACTGAATTATACACAAATGTTTAACACCAACAAGGGTTTCAGCTCAAAATCTGGAAGATTATAATGGCCAATATTTCTGAAGCAAGTACACAGATTCACTGTCCATTGCAACATCCAAAGAAAAAAAAAAAACAGTTGTTTTACATTTAAGAAGTATTGCTGATGTCGGGGGCTGAAGTCATTCCCCGGAGCAGTCTCTAAAGTCCCTGCCACACGATAGCCCAAAGCACCGAAAAGGACCATCAAGACGTAGCCATACTGCAATAATGGTGATAATAACAATATTTTGCAGTACTACAGTCAAAGCATTGAGATTTCCTTCATTCTTTTTCTCATAACAAGACAAGACAACAATGTGAATTGAGAAGGAAGCCTTTCCTCAAGCATTCATATAAACACAAAATAAAAGCAAATACTAGAACTA